TAGTATTTTGGCTCCGCTAGCTGATACGATAAATAAATTAAACAACACAAGTACACACCTAAACATCGTTGCTGTTTGCCATTTGAAAGTGCCTACTATGTCATTTTATAAAATTTCGGTAGTGTGTTATGTAAACTTTGCAAGTCATTAAAATAGTTGGCGTGCCTGTAATTAGTTCGCAAGGTTCTCTAATTACATTGACTAGTGACTTGACTTAAATTGTAAACGTAATTACCAGGTACCCTAATAATTCAGGATTCATCGTCCATGTAATTATATTGAGTGATGGGTACAGGATCTCCATTCATTTCAAGATGTGTAATTATTTTTTAACGTGAGCTACTAACGGTTGCAGGAGCGTTGGGCACGCTGTTCGTACCTCAGCCCAATTGAAGCAACTTAAATTTGCCCTGGTGACAAAATGGCCCACTCTTTCTAACCGTCGTAGTGAACCGGATTCGACGGGTAAAAAACTGGAAGCAGAAAAAACGCTTCCATAATCGAAAAAGTAATAAAATGCTAAATTGCGAAGGTACGCCACTGGCACGCTTCGAATAAATGCTGACAATGTGAATTGTGAAAAATTCGGGGTGATTAAAAGGTAATTAAGTGTAAAACGTACACACCATAAAAGTCTAGTTCTGAGTTATTATTATTATTATAGTACTGGGGGTGATGACTGTCGGTTCCTCCACTGCGCCAAATTTTGGTCTATTGTGCTCCCCGGTATTTTCTACCATTTAAGAATACCTGTATCATCTTTAACCAAGTCTAGGATTGTGATTTCCAAGTAGGTACCTACCTACATACAAAGATTTTCTTTTTTTAATGGTTGAGCAGCTACCGTCAGCATTGCGTATACCTCGGCTTGGAGCGCGGTTGCTTTTTGTCTTAGGATTACTTTTACAGAGATTCTGCAGCCCCATCCATTAGCCACTCGCAGTGAATTTAAAAGCACACTCGACAATAATTTCGTCGAATTGTCGGCACAGTTTTCCCTTGTAATTCAACGATTAACTTTAACTTTCGTAATAAAAATAGCTCGTTTTCCTTGAATTTATTGTAACGGATGTTAAACATTTTCCTTTTCTCCTGCTTCTCCTGGTTAATTAAATTGGGCGTGGTTCTTGTTATGTAATTATACCTATTAATATCTCTCGGATGATCGTCGGTTAATAACCCTCTTCTGACCTCAAGGATAAGGGTAATGGGATAAAACTCAATGATCTTTAAATTAAATTGGTTCTTTTTTCCTTTACTGTAAAGGAACACAATATCTTAGATGCTGTTTCGTCGCTGCTTCGATGTGTAATGATCTGATGATTCCACCTTCAGTCATTGGATGTAGTTTGGAGCGCACGGACCGACCAACTTCTAGACGTGAAAATGAAATTCGCTTCCCAAGTGTATTCTGCACGGACCGATCACAGAATCTGCGGGTTGTTACGAACGCCAGGGAAGAAGTTGCAACATCGACCGCACTACCAGCAAGCGCGCATTGGCCGTAACGCCAGACACCTCGATGGCGAACTGTTTATAAACAGCTCCAACAGCCAGTCATACCACTGATTTTTGTCCAGCAAAAACCACTCGTGTCGTGTCTTAGCAAGCCTATACCTTCCCTACACAAGAGATTGATCTGGTCGCTTGGGCTGAAGATGGCGCCATCAATTCCCAATTCAATCAATTATAGTTTGAAATGCAAACGAATCTCATATAAATGTAGGTCAATTGATTAAGAACGGTAAACTAATTAGCACGTCAATTGAACCGTCCTCATTTCAGAAAGATTCCCCTCGTGCTCCCACTTCCAACGTGCGGGCGTGAGGAGTGGGGGAATCCGTGCGCTCTACACTCATTCGCGTTTCACTATTGCCGTGACCGTGGCCGTTGGCGCTCGTACTATTCGACTTACCCTACGTTGCCTAAAGAAGTTTCACTTCAAAAATCAGTTTTATTACATGATTGCATAAACTGAATTGGAACATTCGAAACCATTCGCAAATAATCGCATGTACACAGACAGACGGGCGGACAGAAAGTCCATAATCATAAACTCGCTTATTTGCGCTCGTTAATAAATATTAATAATTGTAGCTCGAATTCCGTTATTTTGAAATTTAGTTTAGGCGTTAGAAGTGAGCAATAATTAAATTGAAAAATTTGACTTTTTGGTATAGCAGAACTTTTTTACAACCAAAGTAGACTGTAAGTCTGTCAGTTAGTGAGAGGGCATTTTGGGTCCTTAAGGGCTTCTCTGGAAGGTATACTATCTTTTCCAATCTTCTCTAGAAAATGCTTTTAAAAACGTCTTCTTAAAAATCTTGAACAAAACGGGTTTGGGAATTCTCTTAGAATTTCTCCAGCTTAAAAGGTTTGCACTAGTTCGAAAGCACTGTAAATTTTGGTGGATTTTTTATCGAACTCATCGGAAAATACAATCCCCCTACGATTTGTTCGTTGGAACGTGGATCACTGGCCGTCGGCCGAGCAATTTTATGTTTTTATCTATGCTCGTCGACTGGGAAAATAGGTAAAAGAATATGGAAACTTAAAAAGTAACTTTAAATGAACGGGAGAGAATGCATGGCCATTGAATTGTTCAGTAGAAATTGCTGTTGTGATTTTGGAACTAGTTCAACTATTACAAGAAATTATTTTGGAAAAGTATAGGGATTACAAAAGAGATGGCGCAAATGTACCAATTGCATACACAAAAGACAATTCCAGATACTGGTTCATTGAAGTGCAATTGCTCTACAAATCCTACATGAAATTGCACATTTTCAACTGCCCTTTAAGGAAAATTGAGTCGGACGTGGCTATTAAGTGCATAAATTAAAATGTACTTATGAAGGTGGTTACGGACGTGGCGACATCTCATTGGAACTTGTTCAACTATTAAAAGAAAATAATAAGGAAAAGTATAGGGATTACCAAAGAGATGGCGCAAATGCACCAATTGCATACTCAAAAGACAATTCCAGATACCAGATAAAAAAAATTGTCTCAGATCGTCCGGGAAAAAACGTTTTCTTATAGAATGTGGCCTGTAGAATCCATAAATTCAAACAGTTCCAAGATTGGGCTGCTAGATCAAAAGTTACAGCCTTTTGAATTTTCTTTCGAAATTGGTTTCTAGTCTATAACTTTTGATTGAGAGGTTTAATCGAAAAAGTACGAATTGATTTGGATTCTACGCCCCAAAATAAATAAGAAAAAGTGTTTTCCCGAGAAATTTTGGTGTAGTCGATTTTTGGTAAAAAAGGAAGGTTGTACACTGCCTTTTTTTGGCTCGAAAAAAAAAATTGTCTCATATCGACCGGGAAAACACATTTTCTTATAGAATGTGGCCTGTAGAATCCATAAATTCAAACAGTTCCAAGATTTGGCTGCTAGATCAAAAGTTACAGCCTTTTGAATTTTCTTTCGAAATTGGTTTCTAGTCTATAACTTTTGATTGAGAGGTCTAATCGAAAAAGTACGAATTGATTTGGATTCTACGCCCCACAATAAATAAGAAAAAGTGTTTTCCCGAGAAATTTTGGTGTAGTCGATTTTTGGTAAAAAAGGAAGGTTGTACCTACACACCTTTTTTTTGGCTTGAAAAAAAAATTGTCTCAGATCGACCGGGAAAAAACATTGAATTTTCTTGCGAAATTGGTTTCTAGTCCATAACTTTTGATTGAGAAGTCTGATCGAAGAAGTACGACTTGTTTTGGATTCTACGCACCAAAATTAATAAGAAAAAGTGTTTTCCCGAGACATTTTGGTGCAGTCGATTTTTGGTAAAAAAGGAAGGTTATACACTGCATTTTTTTGAGGCCCGAATTTTCTTATAGAATGTGGCCTGTAGAATCCATAATTTCAAACAGTTCCAAGATTGGGCTACTAGATCAGCAGTTACAGCCCTTTGAATTTTCTTTCGAAATTGGTTTCTAGTCTATAACTTTTGATTGAGAAGTCTGATCGAAAAAGTACGAATTGTTTTGTAGTATTCCAATACTTTACGAAGTATCCAAATACTTTGCGAAGTATTCGAATACTAAATATTTGTGAAAGTATTTGAGTTACAAATACAAATACTGCTTCCATAAAAGTATTTAATCACTAAGTATTTGAATACTTTAAAGGATTTGAATACTAAAAAGTATTTACAAAATCGAATACTGCCCAGCTCTGGTTAAAGGTGATAAAGGAAACCGTATCGACACGGATAATTCGCTCACAAGACAATTCGCTCCTAGGAAAGTTCGCTCCCGGCTCCCCGACAATTATCCTGGGAGCGAATTGTCCGGACAGAGGATAGATGCTTGAATAGCTTTTAATTTTATTTTTATTAAAATATAATAGTCTCTCGTGTAAATTAACAAATAAAGTTATTTTACGGAATTCTGGCACCTTACTCTATCTTATGAAACAGACATTTACTTATCCTTTTTCCACTGTCATGTTCCTACCAGGACTTGTTGGGTGTATTTACAGATTTAAATATAAAATTTGAACACAAAGCCACAGATGGGTATTTTATGTGTTAAAGCTTTCATGAATTTAATAGTAGATTACATACCGAGCTGGGAGGTGGTTCATTACCTACGCCGAGGGCTTAAGGTACCTCACCGACGCGCGAAGCGCGGAGGTGAGGTATAAGCGCGAGGCGTTGGTTATGAACCACTGACCAGCGAGGTTTGTATACTATTTTACTCACAATCGATCATTTAAGGTAAAGTATATAATTCAACAAGGTGTTACTTTAACTGTCAATAATAGTGACACCGCCAATGTAACAATTAATGTTTACAACAATAGCAAATAGTTTCGTTCTTCTTCGTAATTTGCTATTGTTGTAAACATTAATGGTTACATTGGCGGTGTCACTATTAGTATAAGTTTCATATAAGGATAATATGAATAGCATTTGCAGGTAAGGAAAGTGACAGATGCTAGCCGGGAAAGTGACAGCTAGCCGGGAAAGTGACAGCTAGCCGGGAAAGTTACTTTCCCGGCTAAGGTGAGTAATGAGTCGCTTCGCAACCGCTATGAAGGTTAGGAATTCAGATAATACTAACCGATTGTGAGTAAACATTATTTTCTATTACTTTTATACAATTTTTCAAAAACACTATTAAAAAAGGGGTGTGATTTATTCGCAATTCTTTCATGTAATCCAGGGAACCAACGCAGCTGAAACGGTCTAGTTTAATTCCGCCCAAACTCGGAACTCTTTACCGACCTATTGAAATCTACCATTTTTATCTCTTCGCATAAGGCGGTACCTATGTGAAAATAAGCATCCGTTATTCAACTTGAAATATTAACTAAAGAATTATGTTAACAGGCGCCCGTTAGATAATATACAGTGTCCTAAAAATAAAAGGAAGTTTAGTCGGGAATATGTGATATTAGTTCTAAGGACTGTGATCACGTATATATTGGGAAAACTAAGGATTTTTAAAAACTAGTCTTAATATAAAACAAAATTAGCTTATTTAAAATTACTAATTAGTATCTAACAGAGATTATTTATTGAAGTTTATGTTTGGCCCTAACAACATGGTCAGCATCACCAAAAAATAATTTTAGCAGCTTCCTTACTATGAACAAAACCACAGCAGCGCTGGCTAGAACCAATCCGATAACATCAAGAAGATAGTACTGATAAAAAGGTAAATCGACTGCAGGACTTCTCAAATGAGCAGCGCCCTTGTGTCGTATGACATACTCTATCCACCAAATAGCTTTCTCTAAACCCGTAGCGGGAACATCCAATAATAATTCTCTAATTTCTTCCACCCGTTTACGATACCTATTAAAAAGGTTTAATAAGGAAGCAGTTAATGTAAAAGTGCATACTTTGGATTTTCCGCAACCTCGATGATCGTCTTTTTTAAATCTTCTGACGTCAAGGTTTCCGTATCGATCGCAAGCGCAATGCCTAAGTTCACCATCCTCATACAATTTAAGGGTTGATCTCCAAAGAATGGCATACCAACCAAAGGTACGCCACCTGAAATTGCTTCCTCCATCGATTGAAGTCCTCCTTGCGTTACAAACACCTTCACGTTTCTATGCGCTAATTACAAAAAGTGTCATTAGATTAATCTAACTACAATGGGTTATACCTACTTAGTAAGTCTTGCTGAGGAAGCCATTTGTTGATGATCACGTTTTTGGGTTGATTAGGCAGATGATCTTCTTCCCATTTCCACAGCACCGTGTAAGGAAGCTCGGATAATGCGGTTATTATTTTCTCGCGTAGCTCCAATGATAAATTGGCACTTCTCACGTTGGAACCTAAGCTGAAGTAGACAACTCCTTCGGTTGCTTTGTCGAGAGATTGTTGTAAATCCTAAGAAAAAGAGCTTTTAATATTAATGATATTCGTCGCCCCCAGCTAACCCCCATCCAAAAATTTAAATGACATCCTGAATTTTTTGCATTATTCTGAAAGAGCGTACTTTTTTGGTATCTCTATGCAAAAAAGACTGCATAATTCGTTTGAATTAATTAAGAATTTCTAATTAATCTCGGAAAATTATGATTGGAGTCTGTGAGAAGAAGCGGATGAAATTAATATGAAGGATTGTTGAGAATACGAAGAATAGAATAGAAACTTTAAAAATCTGTTAGATAAACAATCGCGTATTGTAACAACCAATTCAGTGTTAAAATGATGGAATATAAGAATCTTTCTCATCCAATGACGAAAAAAGTTTACTCAAACATGGTATCATTTGAATGGCTAACAGGCTGATTTTGACCATATTTCAGTAAGACGACTCCGATGCAGGTAACAAGATACGAAGAATGGCATAAGGTTTTTTAGTGGGGGAATTATTTGACACTAGCTCTCATTCGGAAACACGACTTTTAATCCGGCTCATATTCAATAGCACTTGAATTCGTAGAAACCGATTGGCGAAATTTCAAAATTTAAACCAAATTAATAAAAAGTAATGGTCATTTACTTACTTTTGGCAGAGGACTCTTGGTGCGTATGTGCATTTTCCCCAACTCTATTACGGATGGAACGTTCGGCCTAATGGGGTGAAGTATAGGGTTAACATTGAGAAAAAGTAAACTTATTGTCTTCTCTATATCTCCCAGATATGGTAAATCTTCGCCGATATACTTCTTCACCACCTGATCCTGATCTGGTACAATGTGGTAGTAATAGAAGTACCGAAACCACACCGAGTAATACACACTAACCAATCGTTCGTATAATCCCAAACCTCCGGTAAATGGCAGTAGTATATCTGGGTTGAGGACGGGATGCGAGGGATTTCCGATGTTGTCGTAAACGGGTAAAATGGCTCCAAGCGATGTAATTCCCACCCACGGGCACTTGAACCTTGCACTAAGGGCTGTAAACGTCGGATGCATGTATTCCACTATGACCAAATCGAAACTTTTACTCTGATCCCTTATTAAAGCCTGAACCTCAGAATGTTCCAGCTCGGCTTTCACAACCTCGCCGAAAAGTTTGAAATAAGACTGAACGATTGTCTTAATGGGGATGTCTTTTTGAAGGGTGCCTTGTAAATTACCACTTCTGACAATTTCGTACGCAAAACTCAAGTCGATCTCTGTTAAGTTGGTCAGACTACGGTCGTTCAAAGGGTTCGGTGTTAAGACGGTGACTTCGTGCCCTCTCAACGACAGTTCCTTCCATATTGGTTGGAATACCACTTGATGGCTTATGGACGGTACAAAAAAGGCACCTAGTATTTTGGCTCCGCTAGCTGATACGATAAATAATTTAAACAACACAAGTACACACCTAAACATCGTGGTCGGTAGTGTGTTATGTAAACTTTGCGTCATTAAAATAGTTGGCGTGCCTGTAATTAGTTGGCAAGGTTCTCTAATTACATTGACTTACATTGACATTGACTAGTGACTTGACTTAAATTGTAACGTAATTACCAGTATTATGTGGGGTTTGTCCTACAAGCAGACTGAGTAATCTCCTAAATGTATATTTGATTTTATTTCACTTCCACACTTAACAGTTCTATGTATATATTACAAGCATTGAGTTAGAAAACTAATGGAGGGAATATAATGGTAGAGGGGGTAAGAATTTTTGTAGACGGAAGTTGCCACAGATAGAGGCCACTCGCGTGGATAGGTTCCCGTGAAGGTACATTTTGGCCGCCATTATTTGACATACGAAAACGCGGGTCCTGTCACTGTCACTTTTCCACCAAATTCAAATTTTATTAAATTTGCCATTTTAAAGTACCTAATAATTTCGGATCGGTTTGTGCTCTGGTTTATATAAATATCTAACTGCCGCATAGTGTTTTTATCACACGCAATTTTGTGAATTGAGAATGATTAGCTGCGTATCATGCAAAATTTCTCATAAAGGGAAGAAACAGGGCATTTCCTTTCATCGGTAAGACATGTCATTTATCATGATGTAGGCGAGGTTGTAGGTACCTAGTTTATGTTTCTTAGTTTTCCAAACGAACCAGTACTTCGAGCAAAATGGTTACCTAACATTTGTAAATATATCTCAAGAACAGGTCTCGAAATTTGCTTTTGTGCTCACAACGCTTCATTGACTGTGATTTCGACCAAAGGTTGCACCGGAAAATGTTCATCAAATATGCAGTAGGTACTATCAAAACTTGTTTTTACAGCTAAACGTGTGAGTTTATAATATGGATATCAGGTGCAAGTTTTTTTTACGAGTGCGGATACATTTTGAGACCAATAAACAATAAATTATTATTGAATCTCTCTGCCTTTGTAATGACCCTGAGACCAACCAGTCAATTGTAGCTATTGATCAACACAGTGAATTTAATGGGAGTTGTCAAGTTGTAGTGGCTATAGTAAACTGGCCTTAATTATACTACTGGAACACATGTATATTTAGATTTGTAATCAATGATTATATTAAATCCGCATACTTTCCCATCCTTGTCTATTTTGTTTACTTTACCAAGAGCATATATTTTACTCCTTCTATACGATTTTTTGTTATTATACCTATTAGTGGAAAGAAAATTATATCTCTACGCCACTGAATGAGGACGATGATTACAAGTCACGCCCCGTGTCTATCCTCTCGGCGCCCGCGTTCGAAGTGGAAGTGGCTAGCGTACCTTAGTGTGGTTATAACATACCTCCCCCCTTTAAATAGGACATGTTCAGATAGTTAACTACGTGGGAGATAAATTTCGTATTCGCCTGAGCGTATCCAAGCTGGCGCTTGCACGTCCCGTGCTGGTCGTAGCGGTCGCGGAGCGGCAAGTGGTGATTGGTTTTCAGTTGCCATCGGAAATCTGGATTCATGTTTACTATTCTGTGAGCAGTCCGGTTGTGTAAAGCTTGGTGGACGAAGGTCAGATATATCGTCTTCTGTAGGTATTAACGGTGCAGGCTCTGATGTATCTGACACGCGAGGCTCTTCTCTCGGTGAAGATGAGGATTGTTGAGTTACCTGCTCACTGTCTTCATCGTCCCATAGCAGAAGGGCGGTGTTAGTAGAACTGGGGCTAGCTTTAGCTTGGCGCCTCCTTCGAGGAGGTGGTCCGGGGTGCAGTTGTCCCTTGTTGCGGATGTGCTCCTCGCCGTCGTCGTCTCTAAGGCGGTACATTCTGTGGCCCAATGCTTCGAGAATCACGCCATGTGAGAACTTTGGCGCACCTATTCGACGGTCCCGAAATGATATGTGTTGGCCTGGAATAAACGGTGTTGATAAGTCATCATTTGGGAGAGTTTTTGTAGTTGATGGTTTGAGGAGGTCCCAAGGCGTTCGTAAAGAGCGATTGAATACTCGCTGAGCAGGAGCTTCACCCGTGGCGCTGCATGGTGTAATTCGCATGGCAAAAAGCGCTCGAGCAATCTTGGCATGGCAATCCCCCTCTGTAAATTTTTTTAGGAAGCGCTTGAAGGTACCTACTGTACGCTCGGCTAAACCGTTTGATTGAGGGAAATAAGGGGCTGATGTAAGGTGCTTGCATCCATTTCGAGATAGAAAATTGTTAAAATATGCGGAGACTAGTTGACTGCCGTTATCTGATACCAAGAGGCTGGGGATGCAGCAAAGGCATATCGCATGTGGCGTATGAGTTCTGCAGCTGTCATGGTGTGGACCGCAAATATTTCCGGCCAACGGCTCCATGCGTCGACGATAACGAGGTAGTCTTGGCCCTCGTAGGAGCAGTAATCCACGTGAACGCGCTGCCAGTGGTTCGTTGGAGTAGGCCAGGATTTGTACTCGCAGTGTGGCGTGTTCAGGTTCTCGCGGCACGTAGGACATGTTTTCACGTAGGCAAGTATGTGTGAGTGTAAACCGGGCCACCATATGTAACTGTGATTCCACCTTCAGTCATTGGATGTAGTTTGGAGCGCACGGACCGACCAACTTCTAGACGTGGCTTCTCGTTGATTCGACGTGAAAATGAAATTCGCTTCCTAAGTATATTCTGCACGGACCGATCACAGAATCTGCGGGTTGTTACGAACGCCAGGGAAGAAGTTGCAACATCGACCGCACTACCAGCAAGCGCGCATTGGCCGTAACGCCAGACGCCTCGATGGCGAACTGTTTATAAACAGCCCCAACAGCCAGTCATACCACTGATTTTTGTCCAGCAAAAACCACTCGTGTCGTGTCTTAGCAAGCCTATACCTTCCCTACACAAGAGATTGATCTGGTCTCTTGGGCTGAAGATGGCGCCATCAATTCCCGGCTCTGCTCTAATCCCGTTCTGAGATTCCACGCCTACGCCCTCCGACTACAGTAGACGCACCTGCTGCTACGCACATTGCCACACGCAACATGCATACTAGGAGCATGTCGTCCCCGACGGCTGACGCCAGCCCCAACGAGGACATCGACACCGTGCCAGTGGAAGCTACCCCAGCAACCAAACCTTCGGGCAAGAATGGCTCCTAAAACACCGAGCAGTGCTAAACTACAAAAGAGGTTGCATTTACTGCGGAACGAAAGCGAGACAGACGAAACACTGGGACCAGGCCCCGAGTAATCGCCCAAAGGCAGACGACGCAGTAGGGTTCGCCGGAATTCACTACGGATTCCAACCACCGCTCTGGAGACCTTCGGGAGCACGCTCACCGACCACAACAACAACGTCCACCACACACCGCATCCGGTTACTGCAGACTGTGTTGTAAAATTCCTCCGTTAGATGTCGGCTGTTGTCGTCTCCATCCATTGAAATTAAACACCTTCATATTTCTTCACTTGTTTTGTGCCGCTGCTTGTCCTCATACAAGCATGATTTTTGTAATTCAAAAGAACACTTTTTCCAGATTTTTCCAGATTACTCATCGACCAAAACCAAATTCCAGACTCGATCATTTTTGTATCCCAGCTTAGAAACCAAAACTCATTTTAGTTTATTTCCGTTTTCCAACTCTCGCCGTACCGTGGAAGCGACGCTAGCGGAGCAAGTTATCGGAATACTGCTCGCCCAACGTAATCATACAGAAAAAGGACGGCCTTCCGCGATTACCGACATCTGAACGCGGTCACGAAGGACCAAAGCACCGATATGCCATTAATACAAGAAACGCTCCGAGACTTGGGGACAGTCAGAGCTTTCTTCCATCCTTTTCCCCCTTAAATCAGGCTACTGGGGGGTATCGCTCGAGGCAGAGTCCAGGTCCGCGGATTTTCCACCCCTGACGGCGGCGCAAACTACCATTTTAAAGTAATGCCTTTCGGACTCAAAAATGCACGGGCAACGTTTCAAAAGTTAAATGGCTCCTTGCCGGATATTTACAAGAATTTGTCGTGGTGTACCGCCCTCAGTCAACTACTCCAACTCAGCGACCAGACTTCTTCGTTCCATTCGTCCTGCAGACCGAGGCTAGCGAGAACGGAATCGCAGGAACTCGGAGGAAGGAGCATCATGCCTAACAACGCTCAGAAACGCTACCACGTCAACGATACCGGCCGTATTTAGAAGACAGACACTAAAAACAGACGCTGCTATAGTTGGACCGCACTAAAAACCAACAAAGTAGGCTGACCCGATGGGAATTGCGGCTCCAAGAGTTCACATTAAACGTAATTCACTGCCCCAGAAGACGTCAACCGCATGCTGCCTCCAACAATCGAACATTCGGAGAGCAAAACCCCCAATAACCTGGTGATTGCGACGACCGAACTAGCCAACCTAGTGGATCAGGTCAAAGAAAGCGGGAGAGCAAACGAGAACGCCATCGTTCTGGTACAAAGATGGCATAGGATCCAAAAGGGGGGATCCGTAATCCAAACAACCTTCAAACAAACTCAAGCCCTACCACAACGCTCTCCAAGAGCAGAGAAAACAAAACAGCGTGTGGGTGGAGACCTTTCCCCTACGTTTCTTCACCACCGACATCGTTGTGGCCAACACCTAGAAAATAAAGCTTTCCCAAAGCCATAGTGTCGGACAACGACCCCAGTTCACCTTCGTCACTTGGGACGCGACACTCACCCTCAAGAGATAAAGAACGGGTACGCATCCAAGACGTGGGATAAAGTATTACCCTGTTTATTCTCCGTACAGGAAGAAACGCTGCTACAGGAACGACGCTCAACCACGAGTTACTGGGGTACGAGCTTCCCAGGCCAGGAGAATGGTACGCAGAAGACGCTCCTCGAACCGTCATCGACCAAGGAGAAGTACCGAATGCAAAAAGAACGAACTAGATATCTTGAAAACCGTAGGAGTAGGGACGAACAGAGTGACGGAGAAGGAGAGTAGAAAAGTGCGCTAAAAAGACCGTGCGTCGAACACCCACAACATAGGTATTGGTTCTACCAGCGATTCATCCAAGGCTGTACGAAAGGAGAGATAACTTTACAAGAATTTATTTTTCCAAAGTACACTCTCAATATGCGAGACGGAATGTGATATTGAGGTCAAATACAAACGCAATGCATAATAATACTGAAGAGAAAAAATTACATCTACTAGGGTTCGTTTTCAGGTCGATCAATGTACAAAATTAAATCGATTTTGACATCGTGCTCTTGTAGCGGGACTTCATTTAAAACTTGCTCCTTGAATGCTAGGGCGACTGTGATTGGTGGTTTTGACTGTGTGTCATAAAGGTGTCTTAAAAACGTGTCGTAATAGCCTTTTCCATGTCCCATTCTGTCACCATCAGCCGTAAAGGCCACTCCGGGCACTATTACCAAATCCAGTCCTCCTGAAAAAATTCAAAGAAGATCAAACTTTTGAAAAAAGTAGTTAACGCACCTGTATCCAGAGCATTTTCCCGTTGCTCCGCCAAGCGTGGTTGCTTTATATTCCATTTTGTAAGAGGCAGCGTTTCCCAATCTTCCATTGAATGTAATTTAACCATTTCCATTTGGTTCTTGTGGTATCTAAAATGTGAAGCGGGTTAGTTTAGGAGTTAGCTTCCGGTACGATGAACCTAGGAACATAGCATGCTTTTCTACTTTCGAAAATGCGTCTAATAATTGGTTCCGTTGATATTTCATCTTCGGTACTAAGATAGACGGAAACCCGTTGACTACGGACGAACGCAGGCAATTTAAATAACTGCAAAGAAAGAATTAACATTTTTTGACAGGACCTACTTTAATACCTTTGTAAGTACTTTCTCCGATTGAATTTTCTTTTCGTCTCGAGACACTAAGGCCAACTTCCCTTGCACCGTTTTGCGGAGCGCGCTTTTGGCTGCTTGAACTGCTTGAACGGCTGATGGCATCGTAACTGATCGTGTAATACTGGTCCTATCTTCTGTAAGATAAAGTCAAATGAAAGCATTACCGATGTTGTAAGAGAAATTGGCACACAAAGTTATTTTTATTACGTTGCCGAGTTTATCCATCGAACGTCAATCGTTTGCATTGATCCCAATTGCGATTGCTGTTTGTCCATCGGGAAAATTGAATGGAAAATTTACACTGAAAACTGACGTTGAATGAATTGCGTCAGAAACTCGTAATTTACTATTAACAGCAAAGGTCAGTAGGAATAGTTGAACACAAAGAGTACAGATACTCACATGACCATGTAATCTTTTTACGAGATTTCGTAGTTTTACCAATTTCGGTAACAAACAACAAAACGCCCTATACTTTTTCCATAAATGCTGTCACCAAACGGCCTAAAATATTGTGGATTATCTCTGGAGCTAAGTTTTCGGAACATTTCTTCGATTACGGTATCGTAATTGTTGTTTCTTGAAATGATTTGGAGTGTTGCAGTAAATTTTTTGTTTCGTAAATAAGCGAAAATTTACATAATAAGATAATTTGGGTATTTCTTCGGAAATGTTATCAGAATAGTACAGTAAGTGGGCTGCGTAGAATTGAAAAATGGTCACAAATTTCGTCCTCGAGTTCTTCCTTAGGACCCTTAGAGTTAAAAAAAGTAAAAAAAGGCATGGCCCTCTTTCAAATGCCCTAACTTTCACATTTTTTGAAAGTAAAGATCGGCTAAAGAAGATATTGAAAATCGCGCAAAACCGTTTCGGGGGTATCGAGGGGGAACCAGAATGACGTTATGAGGAACACCCCCCCTCATTAACCCCCCAGCCCCCCCCCTCTTCAAAAATCCTAAATGGCAATCCCATACTTGTGACACATCGTTAGAAAGCTACTGAATTTCGCTAAAAGCCCACCACAAAGTAGTACTCAATTTGTGGTTACTTCTCATAGCTCGAGCTTCACGAGTGACACAAGAACGAGAGATTGCGATTAGACCGGCGTATAGTTAACCCCCCCTCCCACTTTTTGAATTTTCAAAATATTTTTATTGCAATCGTTTGGTACTCGTTTGTTGGTGTTTGTTAGTTACATTTTGTCGTTTGTTGGTTGACTGTTATTTAATTATTCAAATTTCAAAATTTGGGCAAATAGTTAGCCCCCCACTTTTTGAATTTTCAAAATATTTTTATTGCAATCGTTTGGTGGTCGTTTGTTAGTTACATTTTCACGTTTGTTGTTTGATCGTAATTAAATTATTCAAAAATTTGTACAGTTGTGAACGATGTGGGCACTGTCGGTAGTTCGGCATGGTCGGCGTGCCTTGTGGTCACTTTCGCCTTAGTGTCCCTTGTACACCTTCGGTGATGTGGGCACAATCGGCATACTGACCGTCAGTGTGGTGTCCATAGTCGGCGATATCGACCATCAAAAAATCCTGTCGGCGTTGTGGGCATTCGGCGAAGTGTCCTAGACCGTTAAATGAATGCCTGCGAAATTAGATGTGACCAAAGAATAAGAAAATGAAGTATTTTTGTCTGTATCTGTACAATACAGAGGTTAATAAGAACTTTCGAGATTTATTTTAGATGATGTACATAAATAATTAAGGATAAGGAAGTGTAGGGACCTCGGTAGGGGCTATCCTTCATATTTAATAGTAAGTACTACCACCAACCAACCCTCAACAAACGATTGCAATGCAGATGTTTCTAAAATTCAAAGGTGGCGAAGCTAACTATACGCCCAAATTGTTAAAGTTTGTATAATTAAATAACGATCAACCAACAAACGTGAAAATGTAACTAACAAACGATTGCAATAAAAAAAATTTTGAAAATTCAAAAAGTGGGAGGGGGGCTAACTATACGCCCAAACTTTTGAATTCTGAATAATTAAATAACGATCGATCAACAAACTGAAAATGTAACTAACAAACGCCAACAAATGATTACAATAAAAATAATTTAAAAATTCAAAATGTGGGGGGCTAATTATACGATCAAATTTTGAATTTTGAATAATTAAATTGTCGACGAGATTATCGATTAACCAACAAACCTGAAAATGGAACTAACAAACACCAACAAACGATTGCAATAAAAATATGTTAAAAATTCAAAAAAGGGGGGGGGGGGGGGCTAACTATACGCCCAACATTTTTGAATTCTGAATAATTAATACACGATCGACCAACAAACGTGAAAATGTACCTAAGAACACAACCAAACGATTACAATAAAAATAATTTAAAGAAATTCTCAGTGGGGGGGGGGGGCTAACTATACGCCCAAATTTTTGAATTCTGAATAATTAAATAACGATCGACCAACAAACGTGAAAATGTAACTAACAAACACCAACAAACGACCACCAAACGATTGCACTAAAAATATTTTGAAAATTTAAAAAGTGAGGGGGCTAACTTGACGCCGCCGGTCGCGATTAGCACACTAAAAAACTGTTGGGCGCCCAAAGTCGACTACCTCCCGAAAATGCACGCCCTGCAACACGTGGATAATTTCGCCCATACGGAAAAAACAAAATTCAGTCACGCAGGAGTTGTGCGCCGAAAGCTGTATGGGGGCTACCACCATCAGAGTTGGACTGGGTCAAGCATAGAGTGACCCAGTGACCCAGTTACTTTACTGACCCAGCTTGACCCAGTGACCCAATTTGACCCGGTGACCCAGCTTGACCCGGTGACCCAGCTTGACCCAGTTTGTCCCTGTGGCACAGCTTGACCCAGTGACCCAGCTTTAGCCGGTGACCCATCTTGACCCGGTGTTTAAACCGTTGACCCTAGGTCTTAAGGTTAATTTTTATTCGAATTTATAGCATTAGGTATGTATTGGTATTTACATTTTGGCATCCAAAACAATTTTAAGTAACTTTTAATTTAAAAAAAAACTTCCTCAATAATATTCGCCAACAAGCACGTAGCCCAATTTCATTCAAGAGAACTAATACCAAAAAATCAAATGCATTTGTTTATAGTTTGTAGTCAAGTAGTCAATGAAAGTATTTAGAGAAAAGATTTATTTGTATTAAGCTAACTGGTAGAAGAAAATTAATTGTGAATGAACACCAGTAAGCAACTGGTAAGCCCTGAAGCAAAGAAAATAAGGAGGGAACTGTACAGAAATAACATTACTAAAATACATTTCGGGACATGGAAAGTTTTTTACGGCAGTATTAAAGCAAACATCACAGAAATGGCAGTTGTCAAGCAATCGAGTATTATTTCCAACAAACCAGCATTAAGATTTATTTCATAATCTGTACACTTGAACCGAGGTCACTGACTTAACTGCGTTATTCGATCAAACTAGGTTACTGGGTCAAATTGGGTCCCCGGGTGAAATTGGGTCGCTGGGTCAAACTGGGTCACTGGGTCTAACTGAAGGGAGTATGACCTGACCCAGCGACCCAGTGACCCAGTTTAATTCAGTGACCCAGGTGACCCAGTCCAACTCTGAGTCCACCATATTCCCTTTGTCTTGGTCTACTTCCGACGTCCCGTTCACCCGCAATTCAGTTTGGTGGATTTCGCTAAAAACCCGGCACAAAACAGCACTCAATTTTTGGGTACTTCTCATAGCTTGAGCTTCTATTGGCGACACGAGAAAGAGAAACCGCTTTAAGAAACTTTTGGGCTCCCAAGGTCGACTACCCCTCGAAGTGTACCGTACAAAAGGTGGTTCATTTCGCCCCTAGAAAAAAAAAACAAAATTCCGCCACGCAGAATTGTGCGCGTTGACAAGATTTTTCCGACGACGCCTATTTGAAAACAATCGGAGAAAAACTGTAGAAGAAAGATAGAAAAAAATTATCAAAGTCCTAGTGTGAGATCGAAGAGACTTCAGCGCATTTTTGTGTGGCAGATCAGTATTCTATTAGCCACTGTTGACTCAACCATCAATAAAAGATCTTGTCAAAGGCTACTACATTCACTTTGTCGGTACCCGCTTCCCACTTTCCGCGTGCACCCGCAATTCGCGTTTAAAGTTTTGACTCCACCATCAGTAAAATCTTGTCGGGGGCTACCATATTCCCTTTGTCGGTATCCACTTCCGATGTCCCGCTCCCTTCCAATGCGCGTTTTGAAGATTTGACTCCACCATCAGTAAAATCTTGTCGGGAGCTACCACATTCCCTTTGACGGTACCCACTTCCGACGTCCCGTTCACCCGCAATTCGCGATTTCCTATTTCGGTGCATACTTATATTACACCCACTAAAAACCTTCCACAAGATAGTAGGTACTTAATTTTTGAGGCACTTCTCATTGCTCGAGCTTCTATTGGCGACACGAGAAAGAGACAGGGGCGGACCGAGGCCTCAGGGGGCCCTGGGCTAATATTTTCAGGGTCCCAACTTACATGATATCGAAAAATATCTTCATTTCTATTTTTACTATTTCTTCGAAATATTATTAGTAAAATTACAGATAAGGTAAACGCACCAAATATGAATGCAAAGAAATAGTTATTTATTATATAAGACGATAAAAAGACAGTGTAACCATTGAGAAATGGTTAGTTTCCCCATATCGTGGTGTATAAAGCAAAACTTTTATTATAGCAAAAACCATATCAATCATTGTAAAGCTTCTGACAATTCTAGATTTAATTCAAGAGACATCAAAAATAGCAAGTTTAGGTTCTTGTGTCGTGGTCGTTTCCTTAGAAACGGAATTGTCATATGTTCTGAATGTCATTTTACATCGTGCTCCGCATCCTATTTGAAATAAGAATGACAGAGGTCATTAGAATGCATAATAATCTGTTTCAATTTATCTACCATAACGGTTAAAGTGATCACTTTATCTACCCTAACAGCGACTCATTCAAATTTATTAAAGTGTCAATTTGCCATCTGCTGTAAAATAAAATATTGAAATTATGATAATAATAATATTAAATGTAACATTAGACGAAAATATTAACACAGATGACTTTTTACCATTTTCTCAAAACTCTTAAATCGGGATTCATGACCAAGATGGAATCATTAGTTATTCATTGCTGTTTTCAAGTAATTCATTCTCGAGAAACCTCACTCAGCTTCACAACTTGTGATTGGCAATGTTAAAAATATACCAATCGCAGCAAGAGTCATAAGATTCGGATTGACTCGAAGTAAGACTTAAGTTGGATCCATTAATAATTAATTAATTAAGTAGGTATTCGTGAACATCGTCCGAATAATAATTTATTAACAATTTCTCTTGTCCAGTTACACAAACACGCTCTATCAATCAAGTCAGAAAATTGATCATAATTAGCATCTTATTGGATTCATTCTTTTTACTAATCACTATCGCAATTGTCGAGGCTCCAGCCCTTAAAGCCCCTGCCTAAATCCACCCCTGGAAAGAGAGATAGCAATTCGAGATTTACGAAACGTTAAACCGCGTGACAAAATTCGCAACGGAACGTAAAAGGCGCCCGAAGTAGACTACCTCTCGAAGATGCGCGCGTGCCTTGCAAAAGGTGGTTAATTTCGCCCCTGGGACAAAAAACAAAATTCCGCCACGCAGGAGTTGTGCGTGTTTACAACATCTTTCCGACGACATCAATTTGAAAAGAATCGGATCAAAACTGTAGTAGAAGATAGGAAAATACTGAAAACTACGCTCGAGGATGACGCCCAGATGTCGCCAACCCCACATCATGTAGCCCTGTCCCTAAGGTTGACAAATTACACGGCCTTGTAGATACACGTACACCCGTTGCCTTTCTACAAGAGTTCTTCTACGCGCCCACATTTGCTGCCAGCCAGCCAGCCAACCAGCCAAAGTGAGATTAAAAGCTACTTTTTACAAACAAATTTGCAAAAATGCGCTAAAAACTGAAAAATCTCCATGTTAGTAAAATACATTTGGAGTGTTGCAGTAAATTTTTTGTTTTGTAAATAAGAGAAAATTTACATAATAAGATAATTTGGGTATTTCTTCGGAAATGTTATCAGAATAGTACAGTAAGTGGGCCGCGTAGAATTGAAAAATGGCCGCAAATTTCGTCCTCGAGTTCTTCATTAGGACCCTTAGAATTAAAAAAAAGTAAAAAAAGGCATGACCCTTTTTCAAACTTCCACATTTTTTGAAAGGAGAGATGAGATCAGCTAAAGAAGATATTGAAAATCGCGCAAAACCGTTTCGGGGGTATCGAGGGGGAATCAGAATGACGTTATGAGTGACAACCCCCACCCCCTTAACCCCCCAGTCCCCCTTTTCAAAAATCCTAAATGGCAATCCTATACTTGTGACACATCGTTAGAAAACTACTGAAAAATGCTTTCCAGCGGTATCAATAAGGTCAATATTCATTAAGACAATTTAACAAAAATTTAATAATTAACAACAAAAACTAAATGTTGACAATGACAATATATACAGTGTGGAAAGAACTGTGGGATTTATTTTAGATTACATAAATAATTAAGTTTAAGGAAGTGTAGGGACCTCGGTAGGGACATTCCTTAATATTTAATAGTACGTAGAATCACCAATCAACCCTCAACAAACGATTGCAATGCAGATGTTTCTAAAATTCAAAGGTGGCGAAGCTAACTATACGCCCAAATTTTTGAAGTTTGTATAATTAAATAACGATCAACCAACAAACGTGAAAATGTAACTAACAAACGATTGCAATCAAAAAATTTTGAAAATTCAAAAAGTGGGAGGGGGGCTAACTATACGCCCAAATTTTTAGTTCTGAATAAGTAAGTAACCAACCAACAAACGTGAAAATGTAACTAATAATCACCAACAAACGAGCACCAAACGATTGCAATAAAATAATTTTGAAAATTCAAAAAGTGGGGGGTTACCTATACGCCCAAACTGTTGAATTTTTAAAAATTAGGTAACGATCAACCAACAAACGTGAAAATGTAAGTAACAAACACCAACAAACGATTCCAATAAAAATAGTTTGTAAATTCAAGAAGTTGGGGGGGGGGGGGGGGCTGGCTATACGCCCAAATTTTTGAATTTCGAATAATTAAGTAATGATCGACCAACAAACGTTAAAATGTAACTAACAAACATCAACAAACGATTGCAATAAAAATATTTTGAAAATTCAAAAACTGAGGGGCCAATAATAATAATACGCCTAAATTTTTGAATTTTGAATAACAATCAATCAACAAACGTTAAAATGTAACTAACAAACATCAACAAACGAGTGCAATAAAAATATTTTGAAAATTCAAAAAATGGGGGGCTAACTATACGCCTAAATTTTTGAATTTTGAATAACGATCAATCAACAAACGTTAAAATGTAACTAACAAACACCAATAAACGAGTGTAATAAAAATATTTTGAAAATTTAAAAAGTGGAGGGCTAACTATACGCCCAAATTTTTGATTTTAGAATAATTAAGTAACGATAAACCAATAAACATAAAAATGTAACCAACAAACACCAACAAACGGTTGCAATAAAAATATTTGGAAAATTCAAGAAGTAGGAGCTAACTATACGCTCAAATTTTTGAATTTCGAATAATTAAATAACGATCAACCAACAAACGTAAAAATGTAACTAACAAACACCAACAAACGATTACAATAAAAATAATTTAAAAATTCAAAGGGGGGGGGAGGGGGCTAATTATACGCTCAAATTCTGAATGTTGAATAATTAAATCAATTAACCAACAAACGTGAAAATGTGACTAACAAACACCAACAAACGATTGCAATAAACATATTTGAAAATTCAAAAAGTGGGGGGCTAATTTGACGCCGGTCGCGATTAGCTATCTAAAAAACTTTTGGGCGCCCAAAGTCAACTACCGCCCGAAAATGCGCGCCTTATAAAAGGTGGTTAATTTCGCCCACACGGAAAAAAAGAAAATTCTGTGTCACGCAGGAGTTGTGCGCCCAAACCTGTAGAAGATAGGGGGGCTACCATATTCCCTTTGTCGGTGTCCACTTCAGACGTCGCATTCACCCGCAATTCGCTTTTTAAGTTTTGATTCCACCAACACAAAGATCTCGACTAATAAGATCTTGTCGGGAGCAACCATATTCGCTTGGTCGGTACCCACTTCCGACGTCCCGTTCACCCGCACATCGCATTTGGGTGAATTTCGCTTAAAACCCGGCACAAAATAGTATTCAATTTTTGGGGTACTTCTCATATTTCTAGCTTTTATTCGCGACACGAGAAAGAGAGACCGCGATTCGAGCTCTAAGAAGCTTTTGGGCGCCCAAAGTCGACTACCCCTCGAAGCGCGCCGTGCAAAAGGTTGGTTTATTTCGCCCCTAGAAAAAAACAAAATTCCGCCACGTAGAAGTTGTGCGTTTTGACAAGATTTTTCCGACGACACCTATTTGAAGACAGTCGGAGAAAAACTGTAGAAAATAGAAAAAAACAAAAAATCTCCAGGTTAGTATAACACGCTCGGGGATGGCGGAAATTTAACTACACCGCTCCGATAGGTACATGTACACTCGTCGTCTTTTTACAAGCGTTCTTCTACGAGATTTACTGTCAGCGAGCCAAAGTGACATTAAAAGCTACCTCTTTACAAATAAATTTGCAAAAATGCACTAAAAACTGAAAAATCTCCACGTTCGTACAACACGCTCGGGGATGGCGCCTAGATGTCGACGACCCCACATCACTTAGCTCCGTCCCTAAAATTGTTAATTACATGAGCATGGTATTAGGTACATATACACTCCTCGTCTTTCTACACGCGTTATTCTACGGGCCCGCAATAAATTTGCAAAAATGCGCGTGGAACAGGCCACCTATCGGAAGCACTTTGTACTTATAGCTTAACAAAAACTTGAACAGATGGCGACAAAACCCATGCTACCCAACGTGTCCTTTAAAATTGAATTTAATTTGAATTAAACTACTTACATACAAATTGACAACCGACGCATTAAAGAGAATTAACTCCAATCGAAACTTTTCACTTACGGAAAACTCCCGAAAAATTCAAAAACAATTAACGGCCATCCGGCGCGCACACGTTGTGCGATCGGTCGTACAGCTGCGTCACTCGGAATAATACGGAGAGCACGTTAGTTTGCCATCGTGCGCTAGCGATGTGGATCGTGCGGTGCGCGTGTGATATGTGATTTCCTAGAAACAATCGCGTATTAATTTAAAGTTACCAAGGTAAGCGTTTTTTTTGTCTCAATTTAAACTATTGTTAATTAGACATCTCGGCTCGCGTTTCCTCACGGAAATTTTCTATAAACGCGGCCGCTAACGAATAAAATCGCACACGCGAACTTGAACTTGTGCTAATTTGATTTTTACATAATTGTTGTTGTCTAGTGGCCTTTCGAACAAATCTACAATAGCCGCTAATTGTTTCAGAAACAAAACGTTTAGAGCTAGGTAATTCAAGCGGTTTTAATTACATATTATCAAAAGTTTAGTGAGGTTATGTGATTTGTTTTTATTGGGTAATTTTGCCAGTATTTCGAGCCAGTCTTGTTAATTTGCACGTGAATCATTGCATTCCTTTCCTGCGATAAGGTCGATATTGCCCAACATTTGTTTGATCTGTTTATCGAATTAGGTTTTTCCGTTAATAGAGCAGCGGTGTAGGTGCATTGCGGATTGTAGATAAACATTAAACACAAAAGTTGCAAGTTAGCTCTTATTTCCGGTTGCGCTATGTCTAGACTTCCTTGTGAAGTTGAAGCTGCCGCCGACTCGTAAATTTCGCTGAATCCAAATAAAATCGGTCAACTTTTAAATTGTTGTTGTAAATACTGGCACGCTAATTACTTCCGCGTCCTGTCGAATTGATTAGGCTTCGTTTGGGAACGCCAATCAAACACAGCTGATAACTAATTGTCACATTATCTGCAAGTGAGTAATTTACATGTGCCGTATACAGACATCTGAATTGTGAAATACCGGGTAGAAAATCTCTGGTCTCCGCTTTTGTGTGTTTTGCGTTTGCGTGTTTCCCTTAAAAAGATTTCAACGTGATTTTTAGGGATTTCCTTGTGTCCAAGTAATTTTCAGATGTGGACAGTGATTGCAATGAGGTTTCAGTTGCGATTTCAATTGTACCATACCAAGTTAAATTTGCTTGATAAAAATTGCAATCAAGTTAGAAATAAACAAAATGTTTTATGTTGAATCACCGACACCTGCGCCCTTATCATTTGCCTCCAGCCAGGGTAATTAAGTGCGACCGCAGCAGTTCAAAATGGTGACGTCACTATTGTTAATGAATGTGAGACATGCGCTCCACAAAAAAGTGACTTGGATGAAGGCTTATTCAAAATTTGGAAAAACACTGTTACAGTTTTTCGTTTAAAATGGGGTGAGGTAGGGGTCGGCAGTTTATTTCACAGGCGGGCATATACAGGGTGGCCCACTGAAAACAGTCAATGCCAATTTTGCCCACTTAGGGTACTTAGGTACGATTGCGACCACAATCCTGCGATTGCGATGCGATTGTCGGATTTTAGAGTATTGCATTGTGATTGCATGTGATTATGAATGATTGCAGACGATTGTAAATGATTGTGGGTGACTGACAAAGATTTCTGGTAGCTATACTCAAGTTGCTATACACGGGCATTACGTAAGCAAGAAACATATTCATTTATGTTGGCTATTAGGGAATTCTTAGTTGGTAATAGGTACTTTTAAACACACAAATAAGAAGTTAAAAAGGTAATCGTAAACCTCGTCGTAAACGATTTATAAAAAGCGCATTACTCGGCGCATTACAATTGCATTCATTTCCCATACTGTAAGATGCAAGCAACCAAACTTAAACTTAAAATTTCGTAAAAATTCGGCTACAAATAAGAAAGTTAGCGTTGCACACGTGCAATCCATTTTTGACTTGCTGCTTCAATTTCAGTTTATAAAAAGAACCCTACCCTCAAATTTCAGGGTATTTCTGGGCATGCGCAAAACAAATTATTTGATTTGGCATTAGTTTTATCTTTATTCGCGATGCCTGCATACAAAATTTCATTTAAATAACTTGACAAATTAAAAAAATCCGATTGCGCATGAGCCCAACATATTTTTTGACTCGGCACTAGTTTTACTTTATAAAGTATAGTCGAGGTCGCCATGTACATACATCTACAGCCTACATAAAAAGTCACATTTAAGTATTTAACAATTAAAAAAATGGATTGCGCAAATACAAAAACTATCGTGCACACGGACGGACAAACAGACAGACGGGCATACAGACAGACAGCAATACAATACAATCTCAAAAAAATGGGTTTTTTACCATAACTTTTTTCGTAAGCGGCACAGAAAAAATTCCTTCCTTGGTGCAAACCTTGACAGCAAGGAACCAATAGCGAAAAGAGTAGAAAAACTAGGGACGGACGGGCAAAGTGGCCACAATAGTAAATTTTTTTTATTTTTGTGGAAATGTGCTAAAAAGAAGAGCATTTCAATGGAACAAGTTCTATACAATCCGATAAATCTAATAGGGGTGTGGCCCACTCAAATCACACATACCGAAAGACAAACTAAGTGGCATGTGCTCTTTTTGGGCCAATGTTAAAAAATGGCACAATCAAAATTTGAAAACATTCGCTCGCTTACAGAGATGCAAGGGAAAATCAAAAATTGTCAATATCAGAATGAAAAGACACGAAAAAATGTTTATTACAAAATTACTGGACTGGAAAACAAAAATTCAAAATTATTAAAAAAGAATTAAAACATTTAAGAAAGGTTCAAATATTAAAAAACAACAAAAATTAAACATTTTGAAATTTTTTGAAAAATCTAATGCACTTTTTTAAATTTCGTTAGTGTTATATTTCTAGAAAGTGAATTTAATATGCTCTTTTTCGAGCATTCCATTAAAAAAAATGACGTTAGGTCTCGGGTTAGGTCAGGGGTTAGCTCGGGGGTTAGGTTCTATAACTTTTTTACCTGATCCCGTACACCTATTTTAAACCGGCACATTATTCAACAGTCTTATAAAGAAACTTTTAAGAAAAATCTTGCTATGTCTCCTTTAATAAATATAGGTTCATTCTGAGATTTACAATTTTTTGAATTTCCTACGTGCATTTTTAAATTGAAATATTTTAATCAAAAACTAACATATTACGAATCTCTTTTCCAAAATATAACACTACAAAAATTCCATATTGATTTCAATAGATTCATAAGATATAAAAAACCGAAAGATTCAAATTTTTTTTGAAATGTATTTATCAAATCGTTTGACCCTTTTTTAAACCTTTTTTGAGCCCTTTTTGAATCATCCTTAGTGTATTATATTTTTTAAAAGTTAATCTGCTATATTTGTAGATTATTAAGCGGCAGAGGAAAGCGATGTAAGCTTTATAGGGAAGTTGATGGTGCCCGTCTGTCCGTCCGTGAACTCCATAACTGCCAAACGCCAAACTTTGCACAGTTAACATATATACCACATGTAACAAGGCAATTGAAAATGAGTCAAATCCAATGATGCGTAGGGTTACTCCGAGGTGCTCTGCCGCTTTTTTAAATCCGCTTTAGGGGTTTATTAAGTAGTATACAGGGCCTTCCATTTAAAAAAATAAAGTTAGGTGCAATAACTTTTTTGCCTAACCCCGCGTGACGTGTGATTGTACCTAAAAACAGGCGAGGGCGTGCACGATTGCCAATGTGATTGTCAGATTGTCACAACGATTGCGGGATTGTTTTAGGCGATTGTGAGATTGCAAACGCGATTGTGGGACTGTGAGGGAGATTTCCACAGCAATCAGAGGGATTGCAAGCGATTGCAGACAATTTGTGACAGTATTGCGGGAAGATGTTACCCCCTCGGGCACACCTAAATTAAGTAATACTACTTACATAACTTTAACCCTGAGAAGGGGGTGAATTGCACCCCAAAAATGTTAAATGGGAAGGGGTAGTAAATGTTAGATAGGTCGAAAGCCATGAAGCGAATTTGTGAATGTGTTAAATTAACTTTGGTAAATTCAAAAACAATGACGGTTTACACTATAGCGCAAAGGGTGGAAATTGTTTCGATTTTTTTTTAAATGGCGATTCTGCCTTCACAAATTCGCTTTTGCACTTATTGCACTTATGTCAGATGTTTTTTCTGACACAAGCTTTCAATTATTTCAACTTCAACGCCTAAGTACTTAATAAACATTTAAAACGGCTCTGCAAATCCATTTAAATCGAGTTTTCTCTGGAAATCGGATTTGAAAAATAAAAACAGTTCTGAAAACATAATGAACATTCCTTTTCACAAGACTGGTCCACCTCCTCACCAAAATATGTACACCTACTTCGAGTACTTCACTTCGACTACTAACTGATGACCGTTTTCAATCCCCAGACCCCAAAAAAGTGATTTGTGTGTGGGTGTAACGGTATCGAATTTTTTTCCAAATAAAGTGTTTATTTAGTTATCCGAAAGACCATCTTTTTCTGTGTGCAGGGTGAGTCAACGATTGCGCGGAGTAACTTAATGCCTTGAAGATAAGATTTTTCGATAGAGTGCTTTTGTATTATATGGTTAAATATGTATTCTCCACATTTTAAAAATATTTGAAATTATACAGGGTGCGCCCACAAAGTAGGGCGCCGAAATGGTACATTTTTTTAAATAGAACCCCCTGTATTTGAATGCATTTTTAAATTCTACGTGTAATTGTACGTCTTTTTTATTACATGGTTAATATCTGAAAAACTAGTAGTTTTAAAGATAATTCGATTTGTAAGAAAAATTGAGCATTTGCAAGCGTCAGTATATTGTCAAAATTATTACTTAAATTTTGATTCCAGGTTTTATATCTTTTATCCTGGTTTAAGTAAAAGTCAAATAAATACATCTACTATGAAACATTAAAAAATAGCTTACAGGGTGTTTTTTGGTAGGTCCAAAGTTGCAAAACTTCATATTAAGAAATCTCACTTTTTTAAATGGAACACCCTGTATATTTTTCTGTCATCTTTTAGCTCCTCTAAAAACCTTCAACTTTTGATAATAATGTCCTATACCTATCTCTGATATTTTTCGAAATATCTTGGTTTTCCTGGTTTTTATATTCTAATCTTAAATATGTTTTAATTATGTAATTTACATAATAACGGGGTGG